GATAAAACCGAGCCATCCACCGCCCCTCCGTCTCCTGGATAGTTTTGAAAATGAGAAAAATGAGAATGCTACTGGCAGACAGACATTGCCGTCAAAGAGAAGGAGTCTGGGATGACAATTTCTCGCTCAGTAGCTGTCACCAGCCAGCCAGCCAGCCGGCCACACCCAAAAGCGGAGGAGGAGAAGGCAATCAGTCACCAGTGAGTTCAGTCCGGAGATGCCTGCGCAGGGCTATGTAGGTCGGCGCCAGATCGATAAATCGATTGACTGAGTTCTCATCCTAGGCCCAGTCTTCAATTAATTCTCAGACTGTCTTGTTGCCGGCGTAGGCGATTATTTCGCGGCTGCGAAGTTAAACTCTTGATCCGTTTCAAGGCTGTGGACAACCATTTGTGATAATCTGTTACGCCGTTTTGCATGTCTCAGTGTCGATAAGTGGCCTGAACATTAGATTTTGTTATTGCTAATCTATTGTCCACGATTGGTTTGTGCTTACCTGCTCCAAATGCTTCTGTTCTGGTCATCTTTCTCAACTCCATTTGCATTTTCGGCTCTTCCATATCCCCATCTCCACAGGCTTAGACATTTTGTCAAAATGCCCTCTTGGGTTCGTATTGCTCATTACAAATACTGGTTTCTCGCGACTATCCAATCCTAAACATCTGGTAGTATTGCGTCTAATGTTCTGCCGTGAAATAATTTGGTACTTAGCAAGTTTTGTCACTTAGTTGACTTTTCCTTCACGATAAAAAATACCGTTTACACTTTCGTCTCTCCTTCCTAATTACCTATCGTCGCAGGCGTCCTCTGTCCCCTTCAGCCGACCGCTAAACCAACGGCAATTTATAACTTATTAGGAGGGGTTTGGCAGATTTAGATAATTCAGTTGAATCTATTCTGAAAATTTCGTGGCCTCGGTGAGAGTCTAACCCACACAACAGGGCAGGCTTTCGGCCAGCCAGCGCTCTACCGTTGAGCTACGAGGCTCACTGTGAGCCGTGAATTTAATCGCAGTTGGATTGATTTTACCTGCCCAACCTAATGCTCGTATGGAATTCACCATTGCGGATACAGTAAGCTGACTGCCCAAGCAGGATTTCGTAAGTAATCATCTAGAATCCACTAGAATGACTACTAGGCTCACTTAATGATTAAGAGGGTTTGGCAGATTTGAATAATTCAGCTGACCCAATTGTGAAAAACTCGTGGCCGACTCACATCCATTTGCCTAAAGTGCACAGCCGTTTCCTTTCCTTTGTCAATCAACCACGTCACTAAATCATGCCACACCTGTCTTTTCAGCTTTAGCTTTGGATGCCGACTCCAACTCTCAAGGCGTCTCCAAGCGACACACCGGCTGTTGGTGGCACCAAGAATCAGACGCCAGTTCGCCGTTTATTCGCCACCCCCTCATCTGCCGCCTGCTCTGGCTACATCCTGACCTATCAACTCGCCACGGGCCAGAGCAGACAATGCTAGATACCTCCGGCACGGCTGAGGGTGACCTCGCCCGGGACGGGTATCAGCGGCTCACCGAATCTTCACGAAGACGGCACATTCGGGAGTTTAACAGCACTCCAATGGAAAAGCAACTGACATGTGTTCACATTGTCGTCGTTACGGTGCCTATTGTGTTTGTATTTATCAGTCTCACTGGATCCAAGGTGAGTCATTTCCCCCGCAACACCGCACTATATAATTAAAATAACCTTGCTACTGTTAAGTAGTGAGTAGGCACTAATAGCACATTTCTGATTTCCGCGTAGATTGACGGTGAACCGCTGTCGGGCCTGTGCTTTGTTGGCATTACCTCCCTCTGGGCCCATTGCGCGCTAGTGGTGTTTCCGCTGGGAATGTGCCTGTTCCTGAAAATGTTCTACCTCTGTCGAGCAATGATTTTCATGTCTCAACTCCGTGTCAAATTTGCGGAATCCTTTTTCCTCGTCGACCGTGAAATGGCCCACCGTTTGGTTATGAGCATTCGTGCCTACGGTAAGTTTCGGTTTTACATTTGTTTTGGACCTTTCGAAGTTTTTTCCTCTGTTTTCTTTTTCATGTAACTACTCGGGTTCATGTCCGAATTAATGCCAGCTTGGAGTGGGAGGTTGTGGCAGAATAGACAAAGTGACGTCAGCAATGCCTCCCGAATCGATGCTACTAAGGGTATTTTTTTCAGAACCGATAAAAACTATTGATCCTCCCCACACGATATTGAGTTAGTTAAAAAGGGCGTTAGTAGAATGCGATATGGAAACCGTAAGCGAAATGATTACACAGGTTGTATTTACTTATGTAAACGCTTCACTAAACATTATTAAAAATTGAATTAGTTCCTTCGTTAAAATGCAGAGATTGGTAAAAAAACACGAGGTTCCCCACAGGATGGACATAGCATCCTCTTTGGCGGAGTGGGCATGATTGAGTTGATCAAACCATTAAAAAAACACTGTCTACTCAGCTATTCTTTGGCAGGCGCCATGAACGTGCGTGACTGGAGGAGAGCTTAGTGAAAAAAGTCGGCATCCGTCCTTGCACCTTAATTTGGTGCTTCAGCTAATTTGACAAACGAAGACGGTGGATTTTTGGGTCATAGTCACCAGCGCACCGGCAGCATGGACGTACAGATCCTGACAAACATCCCCATAGAACGCATGTAAATTTAGTGAAGATGTGAGAAGTAGAAGATGCGATCGAACCAGCAACTCGTGGCTGACACGGTTGTCACCTCTTGCGAGGATTTCGGTCTCGTTAAACTTGAAAATATGGCCGGGTCCCGTCGCGTGAGCTGCAACCTGGAGGTTAACGTCCTTCTTCCTCACTTCTACTATGCGCTCGGCCATTCACGTCCGGAGTAATCTCCCGGCTTCTCCCACGTAGTTGCTTTGTCCACAACTGCATTAGATCCAGTAAACGACTCCAACCGTTTGCTGCCCTGGCAGTGGGTATTTCGGTTTAATGAACCGGCACCACGACCGCCAGCTGCCTTTACTTTCTTTGTTCTGTCTCATCCACTGGTTTTGGTCCTTTTAGTCATATACATTCTCGCCCTCCTCGGCCTGCTGCTCTTCTTCGTCGGAATTCACTCCTACGTTTACGTACAGCAACCCCATTGGCTGGAATCTCAGCGGAACTTCTTTTTGTAAGTCAGCTCTTTGTCAGCGCACCCTGTACCCTACCACCCCTCCCCCGCCCTTTCCAACATATTTTGGTCTGACAGTTATGACACCGCTACCATCCCGCACTCATCGCCAGGGCTTCACTGAATGAGTATAGACAGTGTCTGTGTGTATATGGAACCCGCAGCTTTGAAGTTGTTCTGCAAACTTTGGGGGCTAAAAGTAAGAGATGCCTACGCACCCACTCACTCACTCACCAACTTACTGTCTTCCGCTGGACCGGCCTTACCTGCTTCCGGCGCAGCGGAAAACGGTGCATATTGGGGGTAGTAGTTATTTGGATAAAACAAGGGAGTAAGGGGGTTTGTGCCAAATTTCAGTGGCAGATGGGAGCAGATTGGGATTTATGTCAAGGCTAAGGATAAGGATATCGATGAAGGGGTAAAGCTAGCTTTATCGCATCACCGACCCCTTGTTTACTTTACATAGCTACCTAATTAATTTATTAATTTGTTTAACAACTTTGGCTAATTTACTCGCTAAAAACGTTGGAAATAGTCCTTCCACATTCCATCACATTGACCCTCCCCTACGAAAATCTTTAGTGAAATGCTTCTTCTTTTTATAGGTAAGGTTGCGTTACTCACTACAAGGGTAGGCTACAGTTCATCCACATATTATATTGAACCCCCTACGGAAATCTTTAGTGACAGAAAACAGAAATGTACAGAATTATACCGAAACAAACACCCATTTATCACATTTTCTATTCATAATATGATGGTAATATAACATTACAAACATGATTAACAATCTGCTAAACGTTACTTTAATAACGCGGTTTGTAAAGAGTGTTTTCAGGATATAAAGTGCCCGCTGTTCGGTTAAAAAATGCAATTCGAATTTTAAGATCCGATCAGCGTTCGACCAGATTGGATGTCATGAAATTATTCTTGCCCTAACTACATTGCGTGAGTCAGCACAAACTTTACCCTCCCCCCCGTTTCCAGCATATTTTGGTCTGACAGTTATGACGCCGCTACCCATCCAGCACCCATCTCTAGGGCTGAATGAGTAAAGGCAGTGTGTGGGGAACCTGCAGCTTTGAAGTTGTTTTGCAAACTTTGGGGGCTAAAAGTAAGCGTTGCCTGTGCGCCTACTCACTCAGCAACTTACTGTCTTCCGCTGGACCGGCCTTACTTGCTTCTGGCGCAGCGGAAAACGATGCATGCCAGGGTAGCAATTTTTTGGCCAAAGAGAGGGAACAAGTGGCTTTGCGCAAGACTTCAGGTTAGTCGAGACGTGTTAAAAGGTCAGAGTTAGGGCTAAGATTGGGGATTTGTCATCAATAGGGATAAGGGTAAAGCTGAAGGGGTAAAGATAGCTTTAAGGCATCACCGACCCCTTGTTTACTTTGCATAACTGTCTCATTAAATTCTTAATTTGTTTTACAACTTTGGCGTCGGCTGTTTTACTCATCAAAAACGTTGGAAATAGTCCTTCCATATCTTCCAGTGCACCCCCCCCCGCGGAAATCTTTAGTGAAATGCTTCTTCTTTTTACAAGTAAGGTTGTGTTACTCACCACAAAGGTAGCACACAGTCCATCCATATATTACATTGAACCTCTTACGGAAATCTTTGGTGATAGAAAAACAGAAATGCACGGAATTATACCGAAGCAAAATCCTCTTTTCCGATCATTGTATTGTAAGGCTTTACCACATTTTCTATTCATAACATGACAGCAATACTACAATATGATATACTATACTATATATATAGTATGTGTACTATACTACTATACTATATACTACTTCTATACTAAATACTACAATATGAATGAGACCTTTCAATGTAATAAACAAGCTTGTTAAAAAAGAATGTGACTCGATGGGACACTCTGAGATTGCAAGATAGCATAACATCCAGATACCGAAAAGGTGAGCTCTCAATCGGCAGAATGTCAGCGGATTTAGGATTGGGAGATGGTTGTAGTTGATCGGTATACAACACAGTTTCCCGATGGCCATACCGAGTGTCTCTTAATTCGGTGTGCATGCGTATCTATTGCATATCGATCGAAACCTGGACGTGAGCATTTCGATCGATTTTGATCGACAGCTTGCTCATTCGCACTCCTCGTGCAGCACTTTTTACGCCATTTAGGGAACAAAACTCGTTCCGATGGATCAACTTGTTTCCTGTTTATAAAGACCAGAGCTGAAGTTAGCGCGTATTTAAACTGATCCTGCTTATACAGACGATGAAGAAATTTCGCGAGGCTGTCTAAAGGTGAATGCGGCGCCAAGGGGGCGTGGGGTTAAGGAAACTTAGGTAGGCAGGTCCAGTTGCTGTCTGCAGGATATAGGAGCAAAAGGCCTGTATGCTCGGCAGCGTGCCCTTACGTCGCCTACGCCTTTGGAGCCGATGTGTGATTGCTTTTTTTCACAGCTTACAGGGCGTTGATGGATACAAGGATGCGTCGGTATCTACGTATTTTTGTTGTTTGAGTGTTTGAAGATATTCCAGCAGCATGTGCTCGCGATTCACTAGTAGAACACGTCGGCCAAATAGCAATGCCGTTACCCTGCCTGTAGTCCGCTGATTTGTTAGTAGCTAAAGGCAGCTTTTCCCTGGTGCAGATTTGAAGCATGCAAATATTGCAGAATTTAATGGAACCAGTTAATTTTGCAAGTGCTCTTCAGCTACGACATCTCGCTACCTAACATGAATAACCTATGAGGAAATAGAAAAATTGACTTCGTACTGAAAAATCGATGCAAACAGGGAGGTCATATGCAGTTGCTACATAGGTTAATCAACAAAGTAAGCAAGTTGAAACAGCGTGGGAAACAAAAGTGGTAAAAGACTTGTAAGGCGTGTTGGGAAGAGAAATGTGTAATCAGGGAGCCAGTGTTACCACGACAGAGTTAGACTAACCACATGCTCCAACTGTTCACATAGGTTGGGTTTTAACTGCCGTATATAGGCTGCCTCCAGATAGCGTAAGATACGAGTTCTTCTTGCCTGAACAAGTACTCGGAAAGATGTTTTGGGGTCCATTAAAATTTGCAGCCTTTGCATACTTCAGATTCGTTAGTAGTCGTAGTAGTAGTCTTTGAGTGTATAAGGACATCCCGCAAGAGGCAGATTTGCGGCCATTTCTGTTTTCCCCCCACCCCATCTCGATTATATCTCCCCGTAAATCCAAATGCCCTAACTGAAGTTGGCTCCATAGTGGACAGACTAATTGGATTCTTAACGTTTATCCCCCGCCCCCTTCCTTCATCCATCTAGCTGCCAGCTGCGTCACAGACTCATGGGCCTTGACGTTTTCGCCGCGTCCGTGGCCTGCCACAGTCCCTCCAGCAGC